TTTTTTCTAACATATATACTATAAAATATGTTTGTGAATTTTGTTAGTACTATGCACTTTCTGCTTAGCTTAGGTCACCGAGCTCTTGAAAGAGCAAGAGCTTATATGGACTATATAAAACGCTTTCAATTTTGTGGAATGATAGATCATCTTTTTCATTTTTTTGTTTGCGTTATTTAACCGTGCTAATGATTTAATAAATGTCAGGGATGATACTGAAATCAGATGATGCCAAAATTGGAACTATGCAAATCCGCAGTCTTGATTGAAATATACTAAAATCCACATAACGATGAACTCTAGCCCTAAATCGTAACCCAACTCAAAACAAATAAGTTCAAATTGCAGTATCATTCCGACAATATTATGTTAATAAATCTGTAAATTATGAATTCACTCCTATAAATTGATAATTACGGTAGAACAGGCTTCTTGACCAAAAACAGTGAATACAATGAAGTTATATAGTATATCATTTTGACCAAAAACAGTAAATACAATGATTTCGAATTATCAATTTTTGGAGTTAGCATTAGACCTGGGATTCACAAATTTAGCGTGGATCCATCTTGACTAGCTTGTCAACGAAGTGACAAGGCCAGCATTATTGCGAGATCACGTGAAATCCAGTCATGTTACCAAGTCAAAATCGGGAAGGTTATGGAAGGGGGTTGATTATTTTCATCATTCTTTAGAATCAGTTGGATAGCTAGTTTTACGGGAATAATTCCTGTAAGGTGTGTATTTAAGGGGAAATCATATGTTAGCTGTTCCCTAGTAACTTAGTGGTGGCGAATGGAAGAGCGCAATCACATGATTTTTGTCCAATCACATTGCAAGATCAGGTGTAACGTAAAATCAAAACAACAAAATTAAGCGAAGTATTAAAATTATAAAATCTTTCTTTAGGGTATGTATTGTTTAGCACTAAGGTGCTTAAAGATCGTATTAAATGCAAAATTTTGCAAGAAAATTTTTTTATTAAGACACCAAAGACGGTTTTTGGAAAAACGAACGTTTTTTTTGAATTTTCCTGATTGTGCTACGTTACACCTGATCTTACAATATTATTGGACAAATATCACGTGATTGCGCTCTTTTTCGCCACCACTAAGCTTCTTGCTGTTCCCCCTCTTTGGTTTCGCTATTGCTCGCCAAATTATTAGTAGGCTAGCTTTCTCGCCCTCCCTTCCCACCCTGGGGAAAATTTTTACTAGGATGATCAATGGCTCATTGATTGTAAAACAGCTCGATGACCATCATGCAAATTTAAAGTGAGTTTTGGTGGTGGCTCATAGACTATAAGACAGCTCAATGACCATCTACGAATTTTGTTTAGTCAGATCGTGGCTCAGTGACCATTTGAAGAAATGTCAAGGTTTCACAGACCACATGGTAATCAGGCCACGGTATTTTAGACCTGTCAAGTGTAAATAGTTTGAGCGGTAAGTGAATATGCCTAGCTTATTATTATTAGCACTCCAATTATGATATTGTATAATACCGTACAACTAACGATACTCTTATTTGTCGCTATGTGCATAATATAATTTCAATAACGTGGAATTTGAGCACAATTACTGAGTTGTAGGTGTCTGAAAGAACGCTATGCTATAAAGGAGCGAACCATATTCCCATATGTTTATTCCAATGTATATAGTTATTTAGCATTATAAATAAAGACATGAGTGATCGAGCAATAATAATTTTAAATACGTACGTACAAAATCATGCGATACATACAATTACATACTATGGGTTTACGATATTCCAGGTCTATTTTAAAGGTGTCTTTTTTAATTTCATATTGATAACAATTTCTGACATAATGATAAATCATTCCATTCTTAGCCGATTTTTGATTTAAAATTATCAAGAACAATTCTAACAGAACTTTATATCTAGCTACTTTTAATAGTAAATAAGGGTTGATCGAACTCAACTATTTTGCTGAAAAAATTGTTCTGATTTAGGTTAGGGCTTGGATTGATCTATAGTTAATATTTACCAGAGACAATTGTCGGCAAATTATACTAAACCAAATTAAACCAAATAGCCGAATATAGTCAATTACTGAGAAATACAAGGTTGTTGAATTTTTTTCGCGAAGTAATGTAGGTCTTATAAGTTCATCACTAAGACACCAATTTTAAATTCTAAAATTGATAACGGATTAATACATAGGATAGTACAGCTATATGTCACTCTTGTACTTGGTAAGTTACCTATAGGTTTAACTCAACATTATTTTATAATATCTTATGATTTAATTAATTCGAATGTTAAAGAACATGAAATCACAGCTATAGTACCTGAACAAGAAAAATGCTTTTCCGAGAAAGCTTTAGAAATCAAAATAGCACAGAAAAAAAAATCCGTCGACAGGCCAAATTTTGAATATCATGTAATGCAAAACGAAAAATCAATTTTGTGTGGCCTTACAATAATACTTTTTTTAAACGTCTATCTAGCCCGCTCCGATTTATAAAACGAAATAATTATTCATATAGTTTTTGGATTTTGAGAAAAACGTGATAAAAGTTCGTGGCACAAGAAAATTTCACATGTTTGAATTCAATTCACCATGACAATATTCTGATTGGTTCTATTTTTAGAGTGCTATATCTTCGAAGCATTGATTTTTTCAAATTTAAAAATCTCAATATTTTATTAAGTTAATGTATAATAAAAATTGTACTTCGTATAAATAAGAACCAATATTTTAACTTAAATTGAAAATCTTAAAATTGAACAAAATATCGAACGATGGTTTTCCAGATTCTGGACTCACAAATTTATACTAGCGAAAAAAGCTTATAAAGCAAATATGCGAAAAATTAAAATGTTAAAAAATACTTATGAAATAAGTTCCGCAAAAAATATCGAATTAAGCAATTAATTATATTGTACTCATGGGACTTAGGTGATTCAAAAAAATTAACAAATAAAACAAATCGAAAGTAGCGATAATTACGAGTTTTACTCATGTAATTACTTTTGATTCCAAAAATAATTGATTATTTAATAGATTCACCTTTTGCTAAGTTCTAAATAAAAAAAAGAAGTCGGTAGCTTAATCAAAACTTCTATAATTACATTTATTTTCATGTACATATTATTTATTCTTGTGCCATTTCTTTGTTTTTTTAGCTTTTATTTTCAAAAAAATTATCGCAGCTTCAGCTTCACTTAAAATTGATAATTCATGTAATTATCATTTAGCAACAATGACATATTATGGGATTTATGAAAGTGATTAAAAAATTCTGAAGCCTTTTAAATACAGATGTATTAAGATTTCTAAAAAATAAGAGTTTTTATGTGAAAGTATATTTTATTGATAATGTCGTAATGTAACAAGAATGCATATTAATATATGTCAACTAATAATCAACCGCAAGTCATTTTTAATAATGTCAAGTAGCTCTCCAAATTTTAGACTCAATTCTCTGCCTATAATTCTGATTTTAACATTAGATAAGAAATGATCGAAAGCATTATTTTCACCTTCATAAGAATCTATCCAAAAAACTATTCTTGTTCATCTAATCAATTCGTACTATAATTTATTACATTAAAATAAGATATATATATTTATATTTATATATTTATAAAATAAAGTTAACCCTGTTGCTGCTTCTGCGCAACGTAATCGCGCAGTTATCTAATTTTACTAAATAACGATAACATATTATTGTGGATCGGCATCGTAAATTGTAAAAACAGACATATCATTTTTTAAAATTTTATATAGTGGCATATGTGTAGATATAGGGATTACTTCTGGACTGTCTTCACTTTCAGCCATAAAACCTTCAGCATTATGCATTCCGATAAGATGAACCTTTAGTGGGGCTGATAAAGAAAACAGTTCGATAAATCTAAACACAGGTGCACCGCTATCACCATGTTGTGTCATCCGGGTCGTTACAATCATATTCTCAATTTCATGCTCTCTTACAAACTCTGTCATATCTCCAGTTTTTACATTACCACATCTTAAATTACTTAAAGCACCTATAGTACATACTGTAGCTCCAATAATAGAATTACCTGCTATAGGTGTAGTATCGGCAATCGCTAATTCTGGTTGCACTCGAAATTCTGGATTTTTTATATATGGACTTTTGACAAATTTAGGATTATCTGGATAAATGAATCCTCTATCAACTCCCGAGAGATCGTACATAGTCATTGGCCCAATATATTCAGGTGGATTTATACCTTTATAATCAAAAATATATTGCCCTTCAGCATTCGTAATACCGTTGGTTATACAGTGCCCGCAAGTCGTTATGTAATATGTTCCTCTAAAATGCACCCAGAAACCTACAGTACATTCGGCATGAGGGTGACCTATGTGACTTCCGCCTAAGAGTGGAATGGTAATTTGACGAGATTTTAAGGATGATGAATTATGTAGGCTTCTTTTTTTGATTTTCTTATTGTAGGCTATGATCGGAATTGGGTCAAGTTTTTTGGCACTGTTGATAAATGCTTTGTTTGCTTTATCATCAGTATTATTTAAATATATGACTATATTATTTTTTTTGTATTCGTTACTTATCATAACGTCTTTTACTTTGTAATGTCTTGCTAATCTAATTAATTTTTCATAAGTGTTATTCAATTTAGCTAAAGAATTGTTAACTTGTACAAATGACAAGAAATTTAGATAAGGTTTTATTGTTTTATTATTTGTTATGATTCCTTTCTTTGATGGGTCTATTGTATTGATAATTATTTTATTTGCTTTTAAATTTATATAAGATCCGCCATAAATTGACTCATCAAGTAATGGAATTAATTGAAGGTTTCCCTTAATTAAAGTTTCCTCTCTAGCAAATAATTTAGGCACTTCTTTTTCCTCCACATTCCAAAGTTTTGCCAATACTGAGGAAGGAGATGAATCAGGAGGTGATTTAGGAGATGACTGAAAAGCATAGGCTGTTAAATGAGTTTGTATTACTAATAATGATAGTAATAAATTTAAGAATTTGTAAATATATTTCATGTCGTTTATGATTTCAATAATTATCACGGTAAAATTATAAATAGTTGAAATTAAAAATTGCTCATTTAAATAACAGAACAAAAATTTTAGTATTAATTATTTTGCTTCATTTTATTTTATTTTAGGCTAGTTAAAAGAAGCATAATTTTATAT